AGCATTAAGGTAAGAAACAATATATGCAGTGTTAGATTTGTTTTAAATGTCGCAATGGTCTTGTGGCTCCCAGGTTTGTTTTTTTCCTTTGGAAACAGGTCCAAGTGGCTCTTTATATCTTAAAGGTTGCAGACCCTTGCCATAGGGAGAGTGCCACTCAGCCATAAGCCCTGAGCCAGGCTCACAACTGGTGAGCAAAGTGGTGGTGGCAGGAGCCTCTCCTGCCTCGTTGGCAGTCAGACATCCCTTGAGGGCTTCCAGACTGGGAGAGGGCACAGATTGGGCTGAGGAATGCTCCACCCTGAGTGCATGAATTTCGTGCACTGGGCCTCTAGTTGTAACATAAGTATTAATTGGCACAAGAAAGATGACATATATGTTCAATATTATAGTCATTTAGTTCAATCTAAACTAACCAAAGATAATAACTTTTGACTTACTTTTATGAAATTTTATATTAAGTACATATACTAATGGCCCAGTGCATGAAATTCAAGCACGGGCGGGTGGGGTGTCCCTCAGCCCAGAATGCACCCTCTCCAATCTGGGACTCCTCGAGTGAAATCAAAGAGCCCATTTCAGCCCGATCCCACAGGCTAGGATGAGGTATCACACTGGTGCACAAATTCATGCCGTGTCTCTAGAAATAAAATAAAAAGCTACCAGGGTAGTGGATTCATGTCATTGTACATTTGTCAAAACCCTTAGAATGTTCTATACCAAAGGTGAAAACTATAGACATAGAGTGACAATAATATGTCAATGTTGGTCGCAGATATTGAGAATGGGGGAAGCTATATATGTCAGGATTCAGGGACATATACCAGCACTCTATAGTGTTTGTTCAATTTTGCTCTGAACCTGTAATGCTCTAAAAAATAGCCTAGTAAAAGTTAAAAAATTTAAAAAGAGTAGCCAGGGTTTTCTGAAATCATGTCTTCTTTCTCCTTTTGGACAAAATGCTCCTCAAGCCAGCAGACGAATCAACTTATCTCAGATTTTGGATGTTTTCCAAGGTAGGACTACTCATTATAAAACAGACAATTGCATTCTTCTGCCACTAGATGGCATAGGAAAATAACAGAATGTTTGTGTAATCGTGGAAGAACTGAAAACTGATGTGGAAATGCAAAGTAGGGCAGTAGACTTAAGACAAGCAAGGGGAAAATCCAATTATAATGAACTCAAAGGCACACACATTTAACTGGGACATTTAAGTAACACTTACTTAATTGCTTTATTTTATAATTACTTGTGCTTCATGTTATAGCTCTTTGTTATCTGTTGACTAAACAAATGAGTGAAAGAGGAATATGGATTCCCTCGAAGAGATAATATGTTGTAGAAAAAAAATATGCTTTAATGGAAAACTATGCAGTGGAAGTAGTACAGATGCTAGTGGACAAGAATTGGGCTTTGAGATATTTGCACCCTTGCAAATTGAGAGTAATTGGTAGGCATGCAAACTCAGGTTCAAGAGTTTTGGCTGACTTCCCCCCAACCTGTGGAAAACCGGTTTTGCCTTCATTTGCAATTCAATTTCTTTTATTATTATTTTTTTATTTTTATTTATTTTTTTTCAATTTCTTTATTACATAAATTTTTTTTTGCTTTTGACTTGCCCTTGGAACTGATTATAACTTCTGCTTTGTTCTCTTGCAATTCATATGTAAAATAATATTTAATACATGCTAATTTCTACATTTGCATGAGACATGATTTTGCCTTTTTCTGAAAATCACCATCATCAGAAACTTTAGAGAAACAAACTGATTGAGAACAAGGTTTGCCTTAAGCCTGCCTGCCAGCTGATAGAGTAGGTGAATACACAGTGGGAATATAGGAAACTGAGTTGAGAGGAGGCAGAGTTAGCCACCCCCAAATATGGCTTTGGGATATTGATTCAGGTTCTTTTTAAGAAAAGAAAGACAGGAAAAACCTTTGACTTCCTCCCAAACTGCATAAAAGAATTTAGACAGAGGACCTGCTCCAGGAAGGGAAATATCATAAATAACTATAGTTTAATATAAAGTAAATGTGGTAGACGGGGAGGAACTTAGCAGGCTTTGATTAAAGTCCTGTCTGTATCCCACTGTTAATACAACCCAGCAAATATTTATTTACCAAACATTTGCTTTCCCATCTCCATGTGACAGAGGCAGGTTAAACCAATCAGGGCAATTCGTGGCAATCTGGACTTAAGACAGAGACAGGTAATTTCTACTGGGCACTTACACCCAGAAGAGACATGAAGCTAGATATGGAGGAAGCCTATGCAGAACCCCTCACAGCCTAGCCAAGCTCTAAACCTTAAATGAAGACTGGTCTAATAAAGGGTGACACTGTTAGGTCCCAGGCATTGGTGCTCCATGAGACCTCTCAAGAACAAATATTTCTTCCTTCCTTCTTTCTTCCCATCCATCCATCCATCCATCCATCCATCCATCCATCCATCCATCCATCCATCCATCCATCTCTCTCTCTCATCTATAGTTAGTTCTTTGGCTTTCTGGCACCAGAAGATAGTACAAATGTGATCTTCCAAACGGGGCAGATAGTGATTTTCATCCTGGGCTCAACTTGGTTCTTTTCTTACTAGACAGCAGTAATTTTTCCCCTTAACACCTAAAATATTATTTACTTAAAATTGATGAGAAAGAGAGAGAGAGAGATAGGTCAATTTGTTGTTGCACTTATTTATGCATTCATTGGTTGATTCTTGTATGTGCCCTGACCAGAGATCAACCCACAACCATGGTGCATGTGGATGAGGTTCTAACCAACTGAGCTGGAACTACCGGCCAGGGCTAAAGTAAGCTTTCAATGATATTAATGGTGTGGATAAAGAGGATTTTCTAGTAAAAACAGATTTAAAGAAAGTAAGTAGTCAGGCTGGTAAGTAGTTCTTGACTTAAACTTATCACTACTACTCTATAACACTGATCAGTCTGCTTTTTCATTTGCTTAATAGCAGGAAGAACACTGATTATTTTTTAAAAATTGATTTTAGAGAGAGAGGAAATGGGGGAAAGTGGGAGAGGAGAAGAGGAAAAGGAAGGAGAGGAGAAGAGAGGAGAGAAGAGGGGAGGAGAGGAGAGGAGAGAAGAGGGGAGGAGAGGAGAGGAGAGGAGAGGAGAGGAGAGGAGAGGAGAGGAGAGGAGAGGAGAGGAGAGGGGAGGGGAGGGGAGGGGAGGGGAGGGGAGGGGAGGGGAGGGGAGGGGAGGGGAGGGGAGGGGAGGGGAGGGGAGGAGAGGGGAGGGGAGGGGAGGAGAGGGGAGGAGAGGGGAGGGGAGGGGAGGAGAGGAAAGGGAGAATATGAATGACATCGTTCTGCCTTCTGTTCGCACCCTGACAGGTGATTGAAGCCAAAACCTGGATATGTGTCCTGACCCATAATTGAATCTGAAAGACTTTGGTGCGTGGGACTATGCTCCAACCAACTGAGCTACACAGGCCAGCACTATCTGTGTGACTATTTCAACTGCAAAGGTGCTGATGAAATGTAGCGACCTTTCTGATGTTATTGTTAAAGAGGGAAAGGGCTGAATTCTATCCCAGATAACCTACAAATGTGAATAAAGCATTTCATTGATTGTGACTTGGGATGTACATTTGAATCACCTGAGAAATTTTTTCAAAATATACTCCAGACTTACAGAGTGAGATTCGCTCAGGATGGGTCCTGGGTATGCCAATTCTAATTGAGCTCTGCAGATAACTGCACACCCAGCCTTAATTTAACACCTGCCTTAATCTGACCACCCTGAGTAATGCTACCACTTCTTGGACTTTAACCTTTGCATAGAGGGCTTGAACTAAGAAGCCATGGTGATAACAAAGATGAGAGATAGAACCCAAGACAATCATAGTAGTTACACATAAAGGGAGAAGTTGATGATGGTTTTAATGAAATTTCAATCTTACATAAAAGTTGAGATTGTTATTAGCTTGAACAATATGGAACTGCCAATATTTATCCATTTTTGACCTGCAAAATGACAATTTTATAATTCAACATAATTTAAAACACACATATACGTTACCCAGAATAATTGTCAAGATTTTGCCTAATTGGCTTCATCTTTTCCCTTTTTAATTTTTATTGCTGGGTGATATTAAAGCAAATGTTAGACCTTAATTCATTTCACCCATCTATACTGGGCATGTATCTCTAAAAAAATATTGACAGTTTCTTATATAACTTCAATGTCATTATCACACCCAATTAACAATAATTCCTCAGTATCATCTAATACCTAATACATACTCTTATTTCTCCGATTATCTTTAAAAATACCTTTTTACATTTTGATTGAATGAATTGAGTCCCTAAAAATGGTCAACACGTGGTGCTTGTGGTTCTTAAGCCTCTTTTCATCTCACTGCAGTCCTTCCAAAACACCCCTTTTTCTCATGCCACTGACTTGTTGAAGAAACTGGCTCAGTTGTCTATCCTCGGTTATGACAGTCATGGTAGTAACAAAAGATAGATCTGTTTGCTTTTCCATGATGTCATATAACCTGGTCCTCAATCTGCCATATTTCCTGTAATCTTGAAGTCACAAGGCCTGTACTTATAGTCACTATAACATCCTCTCTTGAGTATACAGAGCCCCCCTTTAGAGTTCGAGAGCCAGACAAGGGTGAGTATGGCATCTTGGTTATGACACTTACAAGCTATGTGACCTTCGGCAAGTTACTAAACCTCTCTAAGCCTCCACTTTTTCATTTTAAGATAGGAATGCAACAATTCATAACTTAATTCTGTAAAGATAAAATGAGATCATGAATCCCCAAGGGCCAATACTATGCCTGATATATAGACAAGCAAGCAGTAGCTCAGCGAATGTGTTTCCAAACACACACACACACACACACAAAAAAAAAAACAACAAAAAAAACAACAAACAAACAAACAAACAAAAAAAAAAACTTGACAAGTTGTACTTTTTTTGACCTCATGGAGTATGTACAATAATTTATCTGTAAGCAATACCTACAGCAGAAGTGGAGAGTCTGGAGGTTTTTGAAGAGTAAATCGTCTTCAGGAATTTAGCTCTACTGCCAAGGGAGCAAAGTCTCCTCTGAGCCAAAAACATGCTACAGAATGAAAGAAAAAGTTTTAAAGGGAGTGAATATATGATACTTACATTGCTATCAGATAGCTATAGCTAGCTGATAGACCATAGCTCATATAAAATATATATAAAAATATTATGATAGTGTTTTTCTTCTCTATGATAAATCTCTTACCACTACAATCATTTCTAATTAAAACCCTTTTTTATAAATTTATGCATATATTATTTTAATCTAGACATCTGTAAGGATATTGTGAATTCAAAAAAAGAAGGCTCTAACTTAGTGAAGAGCATTAAGTAAAAGTTCCATTACTAGTAGTGAAAGTACAGAATTTCTCAATCTAAAAACTATTTCAAATTGTCTAGGTAACAGTCACTAGCGAAAGCACAATCTGTAATAGTACAGTTTCTAAAAACTTTAGAAAGTTATGTAGAAAGTTGCTTGAAAAGAATTATCAGTTCCTGGTAAATATAAATGTACGAATGAATCAGATTATTTTCTCAGATTGGTACTTCCCTCAACAATTCTGTAACGAGCAAGTCATTTCAATAGGTTCCAGTTACATAACTGACATGCATTCTGAATTACTTCTCTACCTGTATGGAAATCATTATCCATCATGGATAGGTAGATCAAAGCAATATGAAGTTCTGTTGTTATGCTGCCACACTCAGGCAAACAGACACTTCTCATGAGATTTTTGCCCTGTGAATTTTGTATTAGGGGATGGCATTTCCTCTATCTCTGATCAAACTTTAAAAAAGAGATGGGTTCTAAGAACTCAAAGGGTCCACTGAAGCTAGCTATGAATCTCTTTGTTACCAAATGTTAAGGCTACAGAAAACTTTCTATATAAAAAGAAAAATGAAATATCATTGGATGTTTCTTTTTTTTTTTTAAATCAATCTTTATTGTTCATAATATTACAAAGGTTTCTCATTTCTTCTCCCTTCCACCAGGTTCCCACCCGTCCCTCCGCCCCTTCCCCACCCTCCATTGTCCTCATCCATAGGTGCACAGTTTATGTTCAGTCTCTTCCTCCCTCCCTTTCCCCGAGAACAGTCAGTCCACTCCCCTCCCATATCACCGACTCTACTACAATGAACAGCTATTATTGTTTATCAGGGTTTTCAATCTCCTTTTTTTTTAATTAATAAACTTTTACACTTCTAAGAATAAAATTTAAAATCTAATAATTTTAAACCTTTTTTTTTTTCTGCCCTGGGAATTGAGAGCAAACTTGTTTACATGTAAACTTGCCCTTAGGCTATCAAAAGGTGTAGCCATTCAAGTGTAAATGGATGTTTCTTAAAAAGTGAAATATAAAATCCTGAGCCTGTGATTAAAATCTCAGCTTAAATGACAGCTTCTTAGCCATTCTTTATCACATCAGCCTATTTTAATTCTCAGCAAAGCACTTTTTTGTTTGTTTGTTTGTTTGTGTGGCTGGCCACTCACTCACCTATTCACAAATTTAAAACAGAAATTCCATGAGCAGGCATATTTAACTCACCACTGTATTCTCTGGCATTTGATAAATAAAAGTATTAAATGACTGAATGAATACATAAATCACATAATAAATTAATGATTTAAGTGGATTATTTATAAGTCTGTTATAAAATATTGATTCCTTTCATAAAGCAACAAATTATTCCTTATGTTTTATGTCTTTCAAGTTCAAGGCCAGGTTTTTTTTTTTTAAATAAGAAATGTCTATTCTTGTGTCACTAATTGTTGGGTTCAGAAGTAAAACATTAACTGAATTAGGCAGTAGGGATAGTTTTAAGGAAAATTACCAAATAATAGGAACTATACTGAGCAGTCTTTATTCATTATCATGGAGTTATTTGATTTAGAACAATTTTTTTTTTTCAGCAAATAAACATCTATTTAAATTCAGCCTAATTTCTTTGGTGTTAAGCAAAATGCTTTCTTGCAAGTAGACAAATGAAGGAAACCTCTTCTACCTTCTTTAGATAAAATGGGGAAAACAGGACTAGGAATCAGGATACCTTACTCCTTACTCCTGATAAAAAAAGTTTTCTATCTTCAGACAAGTCACTGACTCTTATTGAGCCTTGTTATTTTATTTTATTTTATTATTTTATTTTAATTTTTTAAAATTAAATTATTATCTGTGTACATATTTTAACATTGCTTCCCCCCCTCCCCCCCTACAGAGCCTTGTTATTTTAAAACAGATGAATAAATGAAGTTACTGGCTGGCCATGCATGAGCTTAGACTGTATCTCTTAGGAAACTTCACCCCAGGTTGGTGAGCCATGCCCTCCAGTCACCAGGCCTCAGTACCCTATTCTCCTAAGGGAGTTGACACTAAATCCACCCGTTTCATCTGGAAATCCCAAGGCCTAATTCCCACATCTTCTCCTTGGTCTGTCTTTGACAGCACATGACCTCCACAATGAAATGAACTGCTCTGGCAAATGACCCAGCTCTTCATTTCTCTTCCACCTGCCAAACCTCCCACTGTATCTTCTGGAATAGCTGCATCATAATCATTCAATTCCCTTACATCTTTGTGTTCTCAGAGTGTCCCCTGCACCCCCTTGCTTTAACTCAAATCTTGTTTCCCCCAAAGGTACCACTTCTATATTCTTCAGTGTTGGCTTTTGTTCTTATATGCTCCACCCACCTCTTTCTTTTGGCCCATTTTATCACTGCTAGACAGTTACTCCCCTCATGTCCTTACGGATGTTATCTCCTGACTTGCTGTTAGCTCCCAGTCATTCAGTAAGGATTTTGTCACTAAGAATTCAGTTTTCTTCTCATCGCTAAGACCTGAGATCACCCAGGTAATTTCAATGTCTTCAAAGATGACCCATCCAACAACTGATATTCCCATGTTCATTGCTCTTCTCCTTCATCCCACCTTAGTCAGTCTCTCCTATAGTCATACCCTGCACTTTACCATTACCTCAACCTGGTCTAATCTATAATAATAAAAGTGTAATATGCTAATTATACCGCTGTCCTCCCGGATGACCTTCCGGACGAAGGGATGAAGCCAGGGCTGTGAGGGACGCCCTGGTCCCAGGTGCCAGAGGGAAGCCGGTGCCGGAAGCCAGGGGAAGGAAGGCCTACTCTTGCATGAATTTTGTGCATTGGGCCTCTAGTCCCAAAATAATTGAAGATTTCTGCTCTTTGACTAAAACCACCTGTCCTTTAATTTTCTTAATTATCCCAACTATTCTCCTCCCCCTCCTCCTCCTCCTCCTCCTCCTCCTCCTCCTCCTCCTCCTCCTTCTTCTTCTTCTTCTTCTTCTTCTTCTTCTTCTTCTTCAATATTATCAAGATCTCTAGGAGGCTGCCTTTCCTTTGCCCAATCGGCCCTTGCCTTCCTTTCCCCCCCAATTTAGATGCCAGTTCCATTTCGGTGATGTTCTTGACAATATCCTACCCCATGTCTGTAAAATACTAGCTCTGGATGAACTCAACTGCAGTGTCTGTTTTTCCTATGGTCCATGAAGCTGTGGACTGCTGGAAAGTCACACAGCATAGGATTGGTTTCACCACAAGCTCATGTTTATTAATCTCAAATTGAACCTGAACTTTCTCTAGCAATTCTACTATATTTTATAGATAAAGAATATGCCAGCCCAAAATATACCACTAAGCATAATGATTATTTGGCGCTAAAGGCAAATGAAAAACAGCAGAGGCAAGAAGGGTGATCACAAAAGCAAAACTTAAAAAAGATATTTTATCAGCTGTTCCCTTTCCTTAATCTATACTCCTCAGTAGGAGGATAAGTGTGTCTTTTGTACCCTTTACACCATAGAGACAGCTCTTGCTCTGGTCAATGTTGACCTCCATATTGTGAACCCAGTTGGCATTCTGTGAGTCTCACTTTCCTTGAACTCTCTGTAGCTTTACATACAGCGGGTCAGCCGGGTCTCCTCCCAGAAACACCCTGTTCCCTTAGCTTTGGATATATGACAACTCCTCATTTTCCTCCTACCTCTCCCTAACCTGTCATTAAAGGACAGAATTCCTCAATACTCACACCTGGGCTCTCTTTCCTTCTCACTAGGTTATCTCATTGTGGAAGGAATTGTGAGGGCAGTGGGCAATAGATTTAAAAAATGCTTCCAGAGAAGCCTAAGCAGACGGACAGGTACTGATTCAGAATCTCTACAGCTATTTTTTCCTGCATTTTATTTTATTTTTAAATATATTTTATTGATTTTGTACAGAGAGGAAGGGAGAGAGATAGAGACATCGATGAGAGACAGTCATCGATCAGCTGCCTCTTGCACACCCCCTACTGGGGATATGCCTGCAACCAAGGTACATGCCCTTGACCGGAGTCGAACCCGGGACCCTTCTGTCCCCAAGCCGACGCTCTATCCATTGAGCCAAACCGGTCTAGGCTTTTCCTGCATTTTAAATAAACACATTTTAAGCAGCACTTTTCTAATGTAATTAACATTCCAAATGTATATTCAGCAATAAGGTAAACAAACAAACAAACAAATAAAATTGGATATCATTGAAAAGTGAGAGAGAAAAAACATATGGCCTTTAATTCTATACAATATTTCCACTCTATTTTTCTAGTTTCTCCTTTAGAACAATGTTTTGTGGGGAAACAACAACAACAACAAAAACAACAACAACAGGGACCTGTGAATAAGGGTGATCTAGGAAACCTGATTATGGCATATTCATATGCATGACCAATAGAAAATTAAACTATTATCACTGGAGTAGATTGTTTACAATGAGGATTCAGAAAATATGCATGGCAGATTTGAGGGTGACCTGGTGAATTGTTGGGGGTACAATCCAGAGCTAAAATGTAAGCAAGGTAGTCAAAATGAATTGTGAAGACTGAAGCTCTGACTTTAGATCCAAATGATGACTTACAACCACCACTCTATGTATGGGGGAGAGAGGTAGGAAGAGATTTAGTTCCTTTGACAAACTCCAGAACATTCAGGTTAATTGAAAGTGCAAGGAAGGTTTAATGTGAGAGACTACAAAAAAGGGCTAG